CCCCGGGAGCCAAGTGCCTGAAACCTCGCCAAGTTTCCCTTTTCTGCACCCCAGCGCCAGCCTGAGCCAGTGGTTCCCATGGAAACAGAGCCCTGTGACACCCTCCTCTGCAACGGGCACAAGGCGCTCACACGCTCTTTTCCTATTTTTTAGCCAGTCAGTTCGCTCCACTCTCAGATCCGCAGGGGAAGAGAGCGGCCAGAGCTGCTGGCCCACTGAGTCCGACGACCACCTGCAGAGCGGGAGGCAGCCAGGTGTCTGCCCGGCTGGACTCCCAGGGCTGGGCCTGGGGGGAGGTACAGTGTCGGTCCCAGACTGAGCTCCCCGGGAGCCCCGAGGCCGTTCACCGGTGGCTTCTGGCTCCGAGCAAGACCCCACAAGGGACTCAGGGAGCACGGAGTCTGCACAGTGGCCTGAGGGGGAGTGTCATCACCTGATGTGATGAAAGTGAGGCCCAGGAAAGTTAAGGACTTGCCCAGGGTCCACAGGAGAGTGACACAGCCGGTCCTGAAAGCCTGGCTCCTCCATTCCAAGCAGAGCACGTGGCTGAGCCCCACCCTCCCTCCCAGGCTCCTTACACCAACCTGGCAGTCTGCCACCACGCTGCCCAGCACGGGCCTGGCCTTACTTCTGGCCTGGCCTGAAGAGGTAGGACCCAAAACCACTCAGAATGGCTTCCTTTGAGTTGAAGAGCCTCAAGCTGTGACAAGACATGCCCAGGACAAATTGCCCCCCACCCCACCCCCCACCCCTGCTCCACCAGGCCCTTGTGCCTTTGGGCTTTGGGAACCTCCCACTGCAACTGCCATGCAAGGGGTGCCCCTCATAAAACACAGATTGGGGGAATGTGTGCCAGGCCATGACCTTCCCCACCCCTGCTCAGCACCCCAGGCACTGCCAGTGGGATCCCTCCACTGGACCAGGAGAATGGAGGGGGGGGGGCCACCCCTTGGAGGCCCCAAACAGTGGTGTGGGCACGTGGGATCGGCAGACGTCCCCAAGAGTGTCTGGGAGTGTCTGAAGATCCGTGGGCAGCGTATCAGACCCAGAAGAGGTTGAGGAAGGCAGGCTGCGGGAGGCCGGACCGGTCAGCATGAGCACTTCAGCCTGAGGTTTCAGCCGTGGTTTTCTCGAATCAGGGGTGGGGGCAAGGATGGCGGAGTTTGAAAGAGGGAACGTTGGGAGTGTTTCAGAAGGTGGAGTTTCCTTGTTTACATTTGAGTGCACTGCCATAGAGAGGAGGCAGACGACAGCCATCTCAGCTGGCTGGGGCCCTCTCTCATCCCACCTTAGGGAGGAGCTCACAGCACCCCCACCCATGAATGTTGGGGTTTCCTGGGCTTTCCTCCATCCAGGCCCAAAGTCACCCCCTCCCCCCCAGTAGGCACTCAAACCTGGCTCACCCCTAGCCAGTATCTTTTTCCTGGGCCCTTTTCTTGGGCTCTGGCTCTGCCTACCCTGGCTAAGGGCAGGGGAAGAGAGAGAGAGAGAGAGAGAGAGAGAGAGAGAGAGAGAGAGAAGATAGGAAGAAGAAAGGGGAGAGGAGGAGGATTGAGGGAAGGAACAGTGGGAGGAGGAGATTGAGAGAGGGGTGCTCAGTACGGTTCCAGAGTTTGGGCCACTGCCCACTAAGAGCCACTGTCTGTGAGGAAGGACCGTCTAGGTAGAGGTGGGTTTCCCTCTGCACATGGAGCTCAATAAGTGTCTGTTGCCCAAAATCAGCCCTTCCCTGGAGCCTCAGCCCTCAGGCACCATTATGAGCCAGCACAGCTCCGGAATGGGAAAGCCACCCGACAGCGTATGTCTTCCGCTGGTCCTCAAACCTCTTCGGCAGCTGGATGGAAGCCTGGCAGAGCCGGGATGCTGCTTGGTGGTGGCCCAGTGGTTCTGTCACTTCACATCACACAGCACGGTCTAGGCCAGTGGTCAGCAAACTGCGGCTCATGAGCCACATGCGGCTCTTTGGCCCCTTGAGTGTGGCTCTTCCTAAGCCTTAGGAGTACCCTAATGAAGTTAATAACAATGTACCTACCTATATAGTTTAAGTTTAAAAAATTTGGCTCTCAAAAGAAATTTCAATCGTTGTACTGTTGCTATTTGGCTCTGCTGACTAATGAGTTTGCCGACCACTGGCCTAGGCCCTGGTCCAGCTCCTGTCCGTGGTGGGCCCTCCTGCTGGTGGCCTGGTGCCCC